CCGGCAAAGGATCGGAATGCAGAGGAACAGATCGGAAAGGAATCTGCTCTGCGCGTAGAGGTGATTGATGAGGTATGTGCTACTGCTCCGGGCAGCCTGCCAGCTTCAAGTTAATGGCTTTATGGCTGGACTTTGAACTTTTAAAGCCGGTTTTGCCGGGAATAGGCAAAAGGCTCCCAGGCACAAGTCACTATGCTGGGGAAATCGAAAGTAACTTTTAAGTGCGCCTTTGTAATAAAGCAGCTGCAGCAGTGACGCAGCAAGATTTAAAGCAGCATATATGACGCTGAAGGCTAATGCCAGAGTCATGATGGCCCTTCAGGATGCTTGTGGGATTCCTAAGCTCAACAAGAAAAATTACAGCGACTGGGTTCAGTATGCAGAGGCAATTCTGCGGAAAGAGGGTTTGTTTGAGGTGATTACAGGAACCCCCAGTTCCAGTTACAGATGCATGGGAAGCTAAGGATTCCAAAGCAAGGGGAACTCTTACATTGATAGTATCCCCAGAAGAGCTCTGTCTATTGCGTGATAAGACCTCAGCCAGAGAAGTTTGGGACGCTTTGAGAGAGGCTCACTTAAGGACAGAAGCTGGATCCACTATGTTTTACTTTAACAAGCTGCATAATATGGCTCTTGCTGAAGGTGGAGATGTGCGTTTACATCTGATGGAGATGCAAAATCTGAGACATGAGCTGCAACAGAGAGGACTCAACTTTCCAGAGGCTGTGTATTCTTTCATGATACTACAATCTTTGGGTTCAGGTTGGGAGTCTGTTGCAACCCAGATTGCTGTGCAACCCACTGCTCAGCTGACAGTGGACTTTGTTACTGCCGTGATTTTAAATGAAGCAGATCGCCGGGGTGCTAGCTGCATGGGCAAGGGGGGAGTCTTCACGGACGTCATCCCATAGTGCAGTGGAACCACCAGATGGCGCCAAAGCTTTGAAGGCAGTGAAATGCTACTCGTGTGGACGTCTAGGCCATATGAAGAGGGAATGCAGACATCCCAGGGCCAAGACAGAGCAGCGCAGCGAAAGCTCATCGCGCGGAAAAGGCCGAGGTAAAGGCAAAGGTCCGGTGTCTAGGACAACGCAGCACAAGGCTATGGTTTCACGCTTCACTCCAAAGGTTGCAGAGGTCCAGAAGACGTCTAGATCTTTCTTCGTTGTTGATTCAGCGGCGACCCACCACATGTGCAACGATAAGAAACTGTTTGTGTCTTTTACACCGCAGGAAGGTGCGATTCACCAGGCGGATGACCACACTATTCCCAGCAAAGGCTACGGAACTGTTGTTCTTCACAGTTTGGACTTATCGATACAGAATGTGCTTTACGTGCCAGACGCCAAACATAATCTGCTCAGCGTTGGACAGCTGAATGAGCGGAACATTGACGTTTCCTTCAAGAACAAGAAGTGCATCATCACAAAGAAAAATGATTATGTATTGCATGCAGAATATGTTGATCGTTTGTTTGTTTTGTATTATGATGATGTGGTGCAGGATGACACTTGTTGCATTGCAGGTTCTAACAAAAGTTTGCATGCAGAATGTATTCACGATTTTCATCGAAAATTTGGTCATTTGCATTTTGAGGCAGTATCTAAAATGCCTGCCTTGGTTGAAGGTATGACTAATAAACCCTGCAGGTACCACATGAAGTGCAAAGCATGCGCAGCAAACAAGGTGAAAATGGCTGCGAAAGGTAAGGTGTCTAGTAGGAAAGCTACAGAACCATACCAGGTTGTTCATGCTGATTTGGTTGGACCACTAGCGCCCTCTTTGGGTGGAAATAGATACTTCATGGTTCTCATTGATGCATTTTCTAGATATATTTTTGTGTACAATCTCAAGCAGAAATCGGAGGCTTTTCCTAGGTTCAAGGAATTCTGTGCTTGGTTGGAAAATGTGCATGGTAAGAAGATAAAGACTCTTTTCAGTGATCGCGGGGGGGAATTCACTTCTCAGCAGTTTGAAGCTTTTCTGACTGAGAAAGGAATTCAACACGATTTGTCTAGTCCTCGCTCGCCATGGCAGAATGGACTTGCGGAACGGGCAAATCAGACATTGCTTCAAGGTTTAAAAACCTTGCTGCATGATGCCAATCTTCCAGAGAGTTATTGGGCCGAATCTCTCTCGTGTTTTGTTTACAGTTACAATCGCAGGTTATCTTCAGCGATTGGTTGTACCCCCTATGAGAAGATGTTTGGCAAGAAGCCATACATCAAACACATGAAGATTTTTGGTTCTGACATGTGGGTTCGCTCACCACAAAACTCCAAGTTAGACAAGCGTGGATTGCATGGTATCTTTCTAGGTTATCAGAAAGGGTCTTACAGAATAATGATGACTGACTCTAAGACAATTAAGCTCACGAGAAGTGTTGAGTACAATGCAAAGTGGGGGGAGAATGTGGGAATTTTCCAATGTTATCCTGATGACGGTGATGAGACTGAGGATAGTCATAAGCAACCACAACAGCCCACACCCACTGATGAAGCTTCTGAGTCTGAATCTGAAACTGAATCGGGTGATTCAGAGGATTTCGAGAGTGCGAAAGCCTCTATGCGACCCTCTGAAAGCTCTGATCAAGAATTGGAGGAACCATTGTTCACAATAGGTCGTTTTTCTCCTAAGAAGGAAGAGGAGAGTGTTGAAGACTTAAGGCTAATTCGTAGATCACAGAGAGTCACAAAAGCAAACCTCCAAAGAGATTTGCTGATGAGTTTGCTAAGATAGCAGTAACAGCTGTTAAAAGCTCCAAGAAGGTATTTGAACCTTCAAGTTTCCAAGAAATCCAGGGTTTGGATTCAAAGGAAGCTGAGCCATGGTTAAATGCCATGAAGGCTGAGCTTGATTCCTTAGAAAGGAACAAAACATGGGAGCTAGTTCCAGTAGTTCCAGGACTGAAACTGCGTGGAAGCAAATGGGTCTTCAAAGCGAAGACAGATCAAAATGGCAAGATAGTCAGACACAAAGCCAGATTGGTAGCCAGAGGTTTTGCACAGGTACCAGGTCAAGACTATCACGAGACCTATTCACCCACAGTGAGATATGAAAGCATTAGGCTTATGCTTAAGCTAGCTGCAGAGGAAAATCTACACATTAGTCACCATGATATTAATACAGCTTTTCTGTACGGATCTCTAGATGAATCACTTTATATGCTTCCACCTGATGGCGTACAGGTAAAACAGGGATTTGTTTGTGCTCTGAAGAAATCCCTTTATGGTCTCAAACAAAGTGCACGGTGTTGGCACACAAAACTCACTGAAGTATTATTTTCTCTAGGTTTTCAGCAAGGGAAAGCTGATCCATGTGTATTTGTCAAAGAGGAGGGGCAAAAGAAACTGTACTGTTTGTTTTATGTTGATGATTTATTATTCTTTTGGAAAGATGTCGCAATGTACAATAACGCCCTAGCTCAACTGAAAGAGCACTTTGACATGAAAGATCTTGGTGAGGTAAACAACTACCTATCTCTGGAAATAGAGAGAGATCAAGATGGTAACATTCTAGTACACCAGTCACGGAAAATTGCTGATGTGTTAAGCAAACTAAATCTGATGGATGCTAACCCTGTAGACACACCGATGACAACAGGTTATCAGGGAGATGACACTGAAGAAGCATTTTCTGACACTACACTGTACAGGAGTGTGCTAGGCAAGCTAAACTTCATTGCCAGATGTTCAAGACCAGACATTGCTGTTAGCTGTAATTTGCTAAGCAGACAAGTCAACAATCCTAGTGTCAAGGATTGGAAAGCTCTGAAACGCATAGCGCGGTATTTGAAAGGCACTATGCATTACAGACTGAGATTTAACAATCAGAAGTCTGGTGGTCTTGAGATATTTGCAGATGCAAGTTTTGGAAGTGACGCTACAGACAGGAAAAGTACGTCTGGAGTTTGCTACATGTACAATCATAGTCTGTTTGATTGGTCATGCAAGAAGCAAACAACAGTTAGCTTAAGTACTTGTGAAGCCGAACTGAATGCACTGTCTTATTCACTTAAGGATTGTGAATGGTTAGTACAATTGTGCAAAGATATGAAAATTCCTGTCAAATGTCCAATCCAGGTTTACCAGGACAACAAAGCATGTTTGGCTTTGCTGAAGTCTGAAGGTTGTAAGCAAAGCACAAAGCACTTGCAATTAAAGTTGCAGCATGCTAGGGAATGTATTCAGAAGGGACTCGTAACGGTGTCCTATATGCCGGGTAATGAAATTCCTGCTGATGTATTGTCCAAGATTGTATCAAGGATCAACACTGTACCTATGTGCAGAAGTTGGGTTTGTACTGATATTGTGCAAACACGCTGCCCAGTGATGTTCACAGAAAGGGGGGGGATGTTGGTTTCTGCTTTCCTTCACTGTGCAGCTCTGCTTGTCACGAGACAGGTGTTTACATTCCACAGTCTGTACTGTTGGAGTTTCTCACGGGAAAGGGAGACTGGATGTGACGTACACTGGTTTCCTGTTTTTCACTGTGTGATTCTCTCCGAGCTGTCGAGGAGAGAGGATGCATTTTCTGCTCCGGCAGAGGCAAGATGTCTTTCTGTAATATACCAGCTTTGAACTGTAAATAAAGCAATAAAGAGTATGCAGCACGTATTCCTCATCCTTCCGCTGGGCACAAGACTCTGCTTAAATCAACAACAGATGCTTCAGGTTACAGACTTCACTAACCCAGAAATAGCACCTCGGGTTAAGAACTTTGCTTCAGGATAAGAACAGAAATTGCGCGGCGGCAGTGGGAGGCCCCATGAGCTAGAGCGGTGCTTCAGGTTAAGAACAGTTTCAGGTTAAGAACAGACCGAATTAAGTTCTTAACCCGAGGTACCACTGTATTTTTAATATTTTGTTGGAAGCCACCCAGAGTTTTTGCTGGGAACCAAGCCAGATGGGCAGGGTATAAATAATAAATTATTATTATTATTTTACTTTGAATCTGAGTCTCTCCAGGTTTCCAGTTAGGGGGTCTCTCCAAGCCCTACCTGGAGGTGCCAGAGGTTGAAACTGAGAACTTCTGCATGAAAAGCAGACGCTCTACCACTGAGCTATGGCCCTTTTCTAAGCAGGCCTCATCCTACAGGGTGGGGGACTCCAATGACTCCTGGATTTGAGCAAGCATGGGGAAGGTTGCTGTTGGGTGGGCCTGTGCCAGAAGTGGCACCCAGGTCCCCTCAAGGTTTCTTGAGAGTAAGCTGGCCACTCCCATTGGACCCAAGACTAGGGCCAGTGGCAGGGAAGTGTGGCGTCGCTGCAATCTAGAGGCTAAGCAGGGAAGCATTTGGAGAGGCTCCAAAAGGCACAGGCAGCACTATGTTGTTGTTGTTTAGTCGTTTAGTCGTTTCCAACTCTTCGTGACCCCCTGGACCAGAGCATGCCAGGCACTCCTGTCTTCCACTGCCTCCCGCAGTTTGGTCCAACTCATGCTGGTAGCTTCGAGAACACTGTCCAACCATCTGGTCCTCTGTCGTCCCCTTCTCCTTGTGCCCTCCATCTTTCCCAACATCAGGGTCTTTTCCAGGGAGTCTTCTCTTCTCATGAGGTGGCCAAAGTGTTGGAGCCTCAGCTTCAGGATCTGTCCTTCCAGTGAGCACTCTGGGCTGATTTCCTTCAGAATGGAGAGGTTTGATCTTCTTGCAGTCCATGGGACTCTCAAGAGTCTCCTCCAGCACCAGAATTCAAAAGCATCCATTCTTCGGCGATCAGCCTTCTTTATGGTCCAGCTCTCACTTCCATACATCACTACTGGGAAAACCATAGCTTTAACTATATGGACCTTTGTCGGCAAGGTGATGTCTCTGCTTTTTAAGATGCTGTCTAGGTTTGTCATTGCTTTCCTCCCAAGAAGCAGGCGTCTTTTAATGTCGTGACTGCTGTTACCATCTGCAGCACTATACACACACACACACACACACACACACACACACACACTGTGTCATCTAGTCCAACCCCCTGCAATGCTTCCCAACCCCCTTGTGTGGCTTTTTCTTCTCTTTTTGATTGTCTTTGTTTTCAACGGCATGTTTTATTATTATGTATTTTTGCAAAAGGGTGTTCTGCATAGATGGAAGCCAGTTTTAATACAGTTAACCCACTCTGCTTTCTTGAACTGGAACTCTGCATATTGCAAATGGACTGTAATAATTGTATCCCCCGATTCATTGCTTGATGCTCACAATTGGGGGGGGGGTTTGCAGTGCAGACCTTTGAACCCTTGCGGCAAAATTCGTAGATCTGGGACTGTCCCTCAGGAATGCTTGTCAGCCACAGCCTGGAGCAAATGACAGAAGAGGCAAGCTGGGAGGGTGAAAGTTGAAGAGTTGTATAAGCTCACAAAATGAAGCCTGGCCCCTCTTAGCCTAAGACTAAGTGAGAAAAGCCCTGGAGAACCTAACTGCCCTGCCTGGGTTTTGTGTTACAAACCTGCCCCCGCTTCTCATGACATTTTGACATCTGCGGTTGAATCACCCAACCTGCAGTCTGAAAGAATTACCCAGGGAAGGCCCCAGATTAATTCTTCTGTCAGGGAAAGTGATAGCCAAGGAGTTTTTCCAAAGTTGCATTCTGGATTTTTCCTTGCAGCTGATTACAGTGGTACCTTTGGATGCGAACGGGATCCGTTCCGGAGCCCCGTTCGCATCCTGAGTAGAATGCAACCTGCGTCTGCACGTGCATGGGTCGCGATTTGCCGCTTCTGTGCATGCGCGTGACGTCATTTTGAGTGCATGCACAAGCGGCGCATGCACGAGTGGTGAAACCCGGAAGTAACGTGTTCCGTTACTTCTGGTTCCCAGAGCGTAACCTGAAAACGCTCAACCTGAAGCATATTTAACCCAAGGTATGACTGTAGTAATATCAGTATGCAAACATAACACTTGCAGAAATCCCCTAGATCAGGCATGTCCAACAGGTTGATCGTGAAAATCAACCACCAAAGCGTCTTAAGAAGAGCATAAGAACAGCTCCCTGGATCAGGCCAACATTGCTTGGACTACTGCAATGCGGTTTACGTGGGGCTACCTTTGAAGGTGACCCAGAAACTACAACTAATCCAGAATGCGGCAGCTAGACTGGTAACTGGGAGAGGCCGCCAAGACCATATAACACCGTCTTGAAAGACCTACATTGGCTCCCAGTACGTTTCTGAGCACAATTCAAAGCATTGGTGCTGAACTTTAAAGCCTTAAACGGTTTCAGTCCTGTACACCTGAAGGAGCGTCTCCACCTCCATCGTTCTACCCGGACACTGAGGTCCAGTGCCGAGGGCCTTCTGGCGGTTCCCTCGCTGCGAGAAGCCAAGTTACAGGGAACCAGGCAGAGGGCCTTCTCGGTGTTGGCACCTGCCCTATGGAATGCCCTCCCACCAGATGCCAAAGAGAAAAACAACTACCAGACTTTTAGAAGACACCTGAAGGCAGCCCTGTTTAGGGAAGCTTTTAATGTTTAATAGGTTATTGTATTTTGGTATTCTATTGGAAGCCGCCCAGAGTGGCTGGGGAAACCCAGCCAGATGGACGGGGTATAAATAATAAATTATTATTATTATTATTATTATTATTATTATTATTATTCCATCCAGTCCAGCATCCTATTATCACAATGGCCAACCAGATGCCTCTGGGGAAACCCGCAATCAGGATTCGAACACAGGAGCAACTGTCCCCTCCTTTGGTTTCCAACCACTGATACTCGGAAGCATCACTGCCTCAAACTGCGGAGGCAGAGCATAACTATCAATGGCTGGTAGCCATTGCTAACCCTCTCCTCCATGAATTTGTCTAACAAAGCCACTTAGGTCGGTGACCATCGCAGCCTACTGTGGCAAGGAGTTCCACAGTTTAACACTGTGCTGCATGGAAGAAGTCCTTTTTTTTATCTGTCCTGGACCTTCCGGCATTCTGCTTCCTCAGATTTCCACGAATCCTAGTGTTATGAAAAAGGGAGAAAAGCTTTCCTCTGTCTGCTTTCTCTATGCCATGCTTAGTTTTTATAAAATGGCCTACTGTCTTCTTGCCACCCATTTGACCCAGGCCCTTTGGAAACCGCTTTGCAAAACAGGTCATGGCTTATTTTGATTTATCTTGACCTATTCTCCCTCCCCTCCAACGCATTTGGCAGTTAAGACCTGGTTCCAGGTTTATGTTGGGCAAAGTGTGCCAGTAGAGCTGCCCTATAATTTCTGCTAATCAAGGCAACATTCCTATTAGAAAAATCATTATTCTTTTGCTTAAGCTCTGCAATTTTCTTCTCTGTGTGCGTTTGTTAATCAATTTTGCAAGCCGCCGCCTGGAGAGGATGGACGGGAAGAGTCCTCAGCAGCTAATGTGGAACTTTCTCTCGCAACAAGACTTATCTGAAGGGGGCTTGGATTGCCTGCGCTCTCTAAATAGCATGATCTTAATCTCATCCTCGGATCCCGCCCCTTATCCCCTCCCCTTGAATTATAGATGTAGCAGAGCTGATCTAATAAGACTTTGGGCAGCTTTGCAAAACTTGGGAGTCCTGGTGAAAATCTGGCATGTGCGTAATTAATAATAATAATAATAATATTTTTTTATTTATACCCCGCCCTTCCCGGTTCAGAAAACCGGGCTCAGGGCAGCTAACAACAAATTTAAAACACTTAATTGATGCAACAAAAAACAGCATAAAATACAGTATAAAACATTAATAACAATACATTCACAATTCAAAAATCAATTTAGGGGGAAAATCCATCCACCAAGTATTAGATGATTACCAGCTAACTGGCTAAATTAGCCCTATTTGGGCCAGCGGGGAGACCAGGGGAGAATTAGCTGTGGGATCCCAGAGCAGGTAATTTTCATAAAAAGGGAAGGAAGGGGAATAAAAGATCAGGCTAAGTTCAAATTGAAAGCCAGGTGGAATAGCTCTGTCTTACAGGCCCTGTGGAAGGAAGTTAAATCATGCAGGGCCCTGGTCTCATGGGACAGAGCATTCCACTAGGTCGGAGCCATCACTGAAAAGGCCCCGGCCCTGGTGGAGGATAATCTGACTTCCTTAGGGCCCAGGACCTCTAAACTGTAATTTACGATATTATTTTTTAAATCCAGCCTTACAAATAACTCCCCTGAACAATTCCACACACAAAAACATACCAGCTCACCCTAACCACAGACGGAATTTTTTACGAATCTCAAACTGCTTTTTAGATGGCTGCTTTGAACTGCTTTTTGGAAACTTGCTTTAAACTGCACTTTAGAAAGTAGCGCTAAACTGTTTGTTCGAAGTTTTAATTGCTTTAGTAATATGTTTCCTGCCTTTGTTCCTCTTGAGGAAAGTGCAAGGTATAGTGGTACCTTGGTTCTCAAACTTAATCTGTTCCGGAAGTCTGTTCCAAAACCAAAGCACACTTTCCCATAGAAAGTAATGCAAAATGGATTAATGCGTTCCAGACTTTTAAAAACAACCCCTAAAACAGCAATTGAACCTGAATTTTGCTATCTAACAAGACCACAATGATCCATAAAATGAAAGCAATAAACAATGTACTGCAGTCACACAATCCATTAATCAGTAGCTGAACTGGGTTCCACACAGTCACGAGAACAACCAAAAAAAGAGCTGCAAAAACAAAAACGCAAAATAAATAGCAAAAACAGGAAGACCTCGACGTAACACTCGAAATCGAAGTGTGGAACTCAAATCGGAAGTGTAACATTCAAAATGGAGCACGTTCGGCTTCCGAAAAAGTTTGCAAACCAGAACGCTTACTTGGGTTCCAAGTTGTTTGAGTACCAAGGCATTTGAGAACCAAGGTACCACTGTATACATTTATTAAGAAGAAAGCAAACCAATATAACCCCACTCCGGGTTCTGAGCAACTCTATGCTGGGATGAAAAGAAAGTTGCACCCAAATCAGCAGTCTGTCTCAGTCCATTTTTTTGCTATAGATTTGTCCACCTCTCAAGATATCATCACCAAACTCAGCACACGTATTCCTGAGGAAGGAATGGCAGTCGTTGTCACTGTTTGGATGTTGGGCACCATTTTGAATCAAGATGGCAGACGGACACATGACTTTGGCATGACCTC